TGGCGGAGCGGCCGCCCCTCAGCCTCCCCGCCGCCCCTCGGCCGGCCCGGCCGCCACCCGCCGCCCGCGCTCTGCTCCCTGCGGGGGAGCCGCTGGCACCCCTCTCTCCTGCTGTTTGGTAGTCCCTTACCCCACGCACCTTAGCTCACCTCACCCCCTTCCCGCCTTCCCCCCGCCGTGTGTACCGTAGCCCCGTGAACAGGGGTGAGGTCATTGCCCACGCAGAAAAGGGACACGTGTATTTCCTTGAGTCCCCGGAGCCTCGATGCTTGTGGATTAAATAGTTGAGACACCTCACCACCCTTCAAGAGGTGAATCCACTTAATCGCTTTTAAAGACACATGCAATCTCTTGAACATGTATCGTCATAAGAAGTTACTTCATGCTTTCCGCTGCCTTCCGCGTTGTAGGCTGGCTGCGGTGTCAAAGCACGTTGGCTTCCAGTTACGGTACTGCCGTTCTGGCATTGTCACAGAAAGAAATGTCTGTTGTGAGATCATCCAAGTGAAAGCAAAATTAAAATCAGTATCCGGTCTGGTTTCTGCTGTTATGTTTGCACTTAGTAATAATACATATATTTTAAAAGTCTAGCAGTGAAGAATTTTTTTTCAGTGATGCTTTTATAATTATCTAGTTTTAAGTTACATACAACTCGTTCTACTAATCAAAGAATCTTGGAAATAGCTGCTTCTTTTAGTCTTCCTTCTAACCAAACTGTCTACTTTTAAATTCAGAGAGAGATTCTGCTAAGATGAAAATGTTCATCCTATCTATGCTGAGTGTCATCCTCGCATCCTTGCATGCTGAGCTGTGTAATTTAGAATTGGCTATTTATAGTGTGCATTATCTGCAAGCACATTTTAAATGTTACAAGAAACTGATTCTTCCTCTGCCCATTATGGTAAAACAGTTTCAAGATCCAAGAAATAAAATTACTATTATAATTTTAAAGTGTCACATTTTAATATTCTCAATGTTCTTGCAAACTCTGGCTGGCAAAGAGAACAACAGCCTAATGGTGGTTGTCCATAGACAGGGCATGGGCTGTATGGATTGTGAAGAACAAAAGAAAGGAGCCTGGCGTCCTTGTGTTAGATGGCAGGGAGATGAGAGTCATCTAGAGACTAGGATATGGTGCCAATTTTTAAGGCTGACTGAAATATGCTAGCAAGGGCATCGATTTTATTGATTTAGTATATAGGCAATTATATGTATGGAGTTATAAAATAGGCGTGCAAAAGGTATTAATAATTGTTCGTTAAAATGACTCAACATGAGAGCAAGTCAACTGAGTTTCATTGAAGACTATTCTTTAACGTGAAGTCATTACCTTTGAACACAACTTATTCAATTTGACTTTGAAATTGAGTGTTACTTCATCAGGTAATCAGTTGCCTGAATAACATAACATTTTGTTCTGAGGACAGCAGTAGATTTCCAGGAGCAGTGACGATTTAGAAGAAGCGCAATAGGCTTCTTCTTCTTAAGGAAATGACCAAAACTGAATCAGACAGGAGCAAGGTAATTCTCCACCAAATAGCGAATGCTCCAGGGTTGCCTTGGTTCAAACCTTAAACCGTAAGAAATTTTGCTCATCATGAATGGTTGATGAGTTTTCAGTATCAGTGAGAGACTAGAGTAGACATAAACCCCTGTAGTCTCTTCTCCCCACGATAACTCTGCACTTTGAAGACTAGCGTAGGAAAGGCATTATCTTACTGCAGCATCATTGCCTTACAGCATAATAGTGGTGACATGAACATAACTGGTAGTACTGCGCTGGTTGTTTTTTTTTGTTGCCTTCTGATATTTAACAGTCACATGAATATGTATATCTCATATATACTCATGTATCTACATATATATGAGTTTTAGATATATATAATGGTATGGATATGTATATTGAATTTAGGATTCATTTTGTCTTTTATATGCTCTTGTTATTTCCAGTACTTTGCTTTACACAGTATAGTAAATAATATTATGATGATTAAATGCTGAAATGAATAAATATTGCCTCTTTAGTTTATGGATTTCAATTTTTCAGTTTTTAGAAAGGAACACTTTGTTATACGGAGAGCCTGGGTACTGTATTATTGCTTTAATTTACTAACACACCAACTGTCTGGTAAAGATCAACTACAGACCAAAAAGACAGATTTAGTTTTACAAAATGCGGTCGTTTTGAATTATTCCTGCAAATATAAATTGAAACAGTATTGAAACCCTTCTGTAACAAAAACAGTCTGTTTTTTTGGCAGTGGCGTTACTAATTCACTATCTGCATTGGTTACCAAATGTTAAAATCACATGGAAAGCATTATGAAACTTCACATTTATAGATAGTTCAGAGGTATGATGTGCTGCTTGTGATCATCTTCTCAGGTAAATATTGAATCTTTTCCATGTAGGGGCATTTAAAGAGAAAAGAGTTTTATTGTAAGTTTGGAACAAAAAGATCTTGCTGGACAAAAGAATGGACTCAATTAGAAAGAAACACAGAATTAAAAACAGAAGAAATCTGGCTATTGTGCTATTTTTGTAATTTAATGAAAATTTTAAATGCATCCATAAAATAAGATTTATTCTAGCTTACAATTGCCATTTTACCTGAATTTTTGTTT